AAAAATGATATTTAGTGCGTTCGAAGATGTATCTCTGAATTCACTCAAGAGCATTTTTAGATTTTCAGAGGTGCACCCTATATAACAAGGGTGGGATGAAAAATTGTCTTTTGTAAATAATAGAGTATTAGCAACATTAGTAGCTCCACCACCTACATGTCCATCAACTGCTAAAGTGGCACCAATCACAACAACGCTTATCATTTCTCACATCAACATTCAAGTTCCAATACTATTAAAATCATTCATAACAACAAGATATATATTGTCTCTGTTTCACTGTTTCAAAATAACTGTCATTTAAGGTTTTTGTAAACTGATTAAAAAATACAATGATGTTATAAAATATTTCATTTTTACCAAACTAATCTTATTAATGTGTTGGAAGAAGTGTAAAAAGTAATAATTAAAGGACACAATTGAAAAAATAATAATAATTTCTACATTGAAAAATGAGAATGACACTCATTTAGAAACAAATTTTATTTGATAAAACGACAGTTACTTTGAAACAGAAGGAGTTGGTTATACAAACAGAATGTATTAGCATCTTATGTATCTATAGCACTCTATAAAAAAACTCTTATTATATCTGTATTTTCGGTTAAAATGATTTGTTTGCTAAAAGATTGAGGAAATGAGAAGAATTTTTTATTAATTTTTGAAATTATTCTGACATGTTTAAGCATTTAAAAAAAAAGAAAATTTTGAAAATTCAATAATCTAATATCAAAGGTTTTTTTATTTAAAGAGGTAAGATTTGGAAAATGGGATTTTAGAATCAAATATAAAACAAAGATGGGTGAAGAAAACGACCAATATACGAAAGACAAGCACGTTACAATTAAGTCATATACAATCTTATCCTTTGAATTTAAACATGAATATACAAAATAACTTTCATCAACACATAGTAAAGAAATAATTGAAAACTCATCCTAGTATACTTTATCGACTTATTTACTAGGAAAGGATACATACACATGGTTAAATTGAAAGAAAAATTAGTTAAAGATTATAGGTCATTGATTTATTTACAAGACTAAATTATTTACAAACAAAATTAAATCTAATAACTAAAGAAACTATTTTTTAATATTTTTGATGATTCTTACAATTTTTTTTTAATAATAACTGAAACAAAATAAACAAAATAAAATAACTAATTTGAATAAATTAACAAGTTAAATTAATTAAATAAATTAAAGAATGGGCGGTGCTGACTGGATTTAAGAGTGTAAATATTGTTTAAGTGATTGAACACCCCCATTTGGAAGTCGTTGAAGGGAAGTCGAAGTCTCAGGTCTTTGAATACGACCTCGTACATAGGAAAGGCATCTTGGGTGAACTCCGAGCATGTGCGGGCATCTTGTATCGGCCTCATGATTTTGAAGTTCCTTTGAAAACCTTCATGGTCGCTGCCATACTCGACGACAGTATAGGCTTGCCTCCTGGTGTGACTAAATATCGAGGTTATTCCTCAAGGCTTTGCACCAACCCAATCTAAAGCAGGATCGTCGATTGTGTCGACCAAATTGGTACCCTCCTCGACTACACTGGTCTCCTCATTGTCCACATGCTTTGACGATTCGGGAGTGTCATCCATTTATCTGCAAAGCAGAGGAAATCGGTGAATTCCACAGCAAATCCAAATCCACCTTTCCACGACAGAGATGAAGAGGCTAACCAATGCCCAAACCAAGTCGATAGTCATTCGCGTAGAAAGGGGAAATACATGTCCCTCGACCGGCCCATGAAAATCATGCTAGTCTTGTAAGATCACACAACGATCGTAATGACAAACATTTTTCATGAATACACCGGGCACAGGAAGAGTGTGGCGGGTAGAGTATGAATTTGTCGACCAAACTCATGAATTTGTCAACCAAACTCATGAATTCACCGAGGATCGCAGCGATTTTATGTGCAAAACTCATGGAATTCGCGGAGACATAGGGAGACCACGAGGAAGATTTATCTGAATATCGATGAGAAGATGAATCTCTCAGGCATAATTACAGATTATACGCCTAAACGCATGGATCCCTCGGGCAAAACCCCCAGTTGCAAAGTCTTATTACTAAAACATCATCAAAACCAATCTACATATAGAGTAACACGGAGAAAATACTTACTTGAAGAAGAACAGATGAAGAACGACGGCGGTAGATAAGAATATGCGGCGGACTGTGCGGCAGTTTCAGTGGTTGCAGAGAGCAGCACAGAGTTGGCAGCAGGGAGAGTGGACAGCACGAAAATATAAAAGGGAATAATGCGCCTTGAAGCATTATTTATAGGGCTGACGTGAAATGCAAAACATCGCGTCAGGAAGCTCACAAGCCGCCTTTCTCCTCGACACCTACGTGCTCAGTTAATGATGGCCCCTATTCCCTAGCCCATCATTGTTATCCCAAAGGTCACAACACGTGTCTGACAGTTGCACTATCTACTCCCCGCGAGTCGAGAAATAATTAGGACGATTCTACCTCAAATCCTTTCCGAACTATGCTCGGGTAAACGACGTGCCGACGATCTTCTCCGTCTAAATTCAACAAAAGCTTTGCGTCGAACAGCTCACCTCGCGAAAGAGAAAGCCAAACATTAAGTCATAACTCCTTCATCAGGAGCAACGACTTGGGGGATCCTGTTCTGGACTGGGCATGCCCTTGGCCCAACCCCATGCGAGGCCCAATCCAACTATATCGTTCGAGGTATGCTGGTTGGTTCTGCCCTCGACTGCGTCGGGCAGTAACTTCTACTATTCGCGAAGAGACAGCCTCACTGCATGGGGATAGACCCAATCACTCTTAGGAGGATCACCGCCAGTCATGAGGACTTCGAGGTCACGCTCTAATTCTCTCCTCGACCAAGACTGATCCTGCCACACGACCTCACGATCGGCGGAAGCACCCACGACGAGCAGAAGCGCCTCACGAGCATCCACCTCGTAGGGCTGACTATCAACATCGTGGAGTATCATGGAGTCTTCATGACCCTAAAAAGATCACATCCATATCCTCCTGATCTTGTGGAGGAAGTCATCCAAGTAGGGGACCACGTGCGGGTCTCCACTACTCACGTAGGACCTGACAGTCTCCATATTGGGCCTGCTTGACCAGCCCAATGAGGAGACTTTGACTCAGCGCTGGAGGCTATAAATACCCTCTCTTTCGAGAGGGTCAGGTATTGAATACTTCTGACTCACTTGCTTGCTTGCTCATTCCAGAACTTACTTTGGCATCAGAGTGTCTTGTAGATACTCCTCCACCTCACTCTCAAATTCTGCTCGGAGCAAGCTGTGACGGTCCATTCTGATCAGGTACGATCAATATATATTCATCAACTTCATTTTCTTATATATAAATACTTGAACGTTAATATAACATTGTTAATTGCTTATATATTTATTTCACCTATCATGGTTCAATACTTATTTCCCATATTTTATAAAATAATTTAAAAATATAAAATTATTTCAATACTCGCACGTAGGAGTGTTTGCGGTGCAATTTAGGTGGTTTTGAGGTAAAAATCACCCGAACCGCAAGAAAAAAATATGTGGTTGATTTGATTCGGTTGACTTTTAAAAATAAATCTGAATCAAACCAAATCAAACTAATATGGTTTGAATTGGTTCGGTTGGTTCGATTTTTTATAAAAAAATTATTAAGTCATACACATAGAGAAAAATGTAATTTTTTATTTAATTGTTCATACATTACCATAAAAAAAATTATAATTATCAAAATAAATGTATAGTTTGATACATAAAATTGCGTTTATTATAATTTTATCTAAATCTAAATAATGATATAAACAAGATTGCATTTTTAAATAAATTTTATACAAAGAATATGATAAAATATATTTTGTAAAAATAGTATTTATAAATGAATAATATTTTATTTATTTTTTATGATTTGTAAATCAAAATAAATATCATACAAAGTATGATAAAATATACACATAATACATGTTGATTTCTCTAAAAAAAAATAAAAATATATATATTGATTAGTAAGATTTTATAACATAATGCAGTCTTGTTTGGTTTGATTCGATTTACAAAATATAAACCGCAAACCAAACTGAACCGCACAGTTCCGTTAGAAAATGACCAAAACACATCTGAACCAAATACAGTTTTTTGCAGTTTCAATTTGGTTCGGTTCAGTTCGATTTTACGATTTTCTATTAGGTCGATTTGATTTTGAACACCCCTACTCGCACGGACGGGTCCCAATCCAATATCTGGTTAAAGCAAACCAATAGAATGTCCAGGTCAGCTGCAAACTATCTCCTTCATATCTGGCCTTCCCCAAGTTCAATGTGTGCATAAAATACATTGAGATATATCACAATACAAGAAAACTCATAAAGGGAAATGACCAATTCCTGCTTTTATATAAGAAGTTTATACCAGAATGATCATATCCTCGTCATCATCTTCGACATTGGTCATCAAGCTATTACCAAGGGGTGAATTTTATCTGTCAACATACAATTCCCAACACTGATGAACAAAGCACATTTCAGTTAACAAAAGAACACAGCTGATGTGTTGGCCATTGGTAAAACAGGAGATCAGAAATAGTAAGCCGGTAAAAATACATGGAATGGCAAAGTCTCCCTGCACATTCTGTAACAGAATAAATCCTCAAGCAATTCTATCCTACCATAAATATGTAGCGGACATATTTGAAGAACAAAATAAGTACACAAAAACAAATTTGAATCACTAAGAGAGTAAATTATCCATTATAAATAATCTCTGCACAACCACCACCCCATCAACTAGTTTCATAGGGAAAAAGGGATAAAAACCAGCCCAAGCTGAAAAACTAAAGTATTTTCTTGAACTATGCTTTGTTTCTTTTCTACATAATAATAAAACCCCCTCAATTCCCAACCACTAGGCAAGATGCGACCAATTCAATAGTATAATCAATGAACCTTGAACCTGTTACAACAAAGGGTCCGCAAACTAGATGAATTTGTGCTCAAGGCATATATGACAATGGTTGAGAATTCATTCCAGCATGATACAAATTGAGGTGTACAATTGCTTTGGATACCAAATCCCTTATATGCTGAGGAAGAATCGTTTTATCTGCACCCTCTAGAGCCAACAACACCCTTGCTTGTTCCAAGGACTCACTGCTCCCGGCATGTAGTGCAAGGTAGCAAAGGAGAGTTAAGCCATGATACATCTGATTAACATCGTTATTCCTCAGCAGTTTCATCACTGCTGGGACTGCATCGAATTCGATTATTTTCATAGAATGCTCAATATATAAGAAATTATCTGGACAAGCAAATTTGGTCAGAGCAATGGCTGCTTCATCTGCTACATTCATGTCTCTATTACTCAGTTGTGCTACAAGGGGTTCAATTACTCGAGTCTCTCTAGCAGGAAACGTTCTAGCCAACGAACCAATAGACTTTATCGCCGGAATTTGCATTGACGGACTGTCAACCTCTTTAATTATCCTTAAAAGCTGTTCCACAACAGCTTTAGCAGGAGGTGAGTTGGTCTTAAATGCAGCACGTCGAAGGTCAGCATTCGACTCAGCCGCAGCCGTTATCTCCATTATAGTCATCAAACAATTCTGCTGCAACTCTCCCTGTTCCTTCTCAATAATCTTAGCCAAACAAAGCATCCCTTTCGTCTCCGTTATCTTCCTACTATTCGACACACTCCCTGCCGCAAGCATCCACAACGCCTCCGCACAGCTAATTTTAAGCTGAAGCTTCACAACAGGATCCACATTTTCCCTCTCCTTCCTATAATTCCCTCCACGGCTACTCCCCTCGGTATAATGATAGGAATACGAATTCGCAAACTGTCTACTACTATTACCATTACCATTACCAGACATATAATTATAATCAGTTTTCTTCCCTAACTCCTTATTAATTTGAATAATAGAATGAATACTCTGCCTACCATTATTACCCGGCTGCTCATCCACAGTCGTATCCATCGATAAAAGCGTAACAAGCGGCCTAATCGCGTTCTCCCTCGCGAAATCCTCCTGAGCAACAGGATCATGTCTAGCCATCCTAGCAACTAAATTAGAAGCTAGGGTTTGAACCCTAATCGGCGAGTCAGTAAGAACCTGAACAACAGCAGGGACTCCAGCTTCATTCACAATAACCCTAACCCTCTCCAAATCATTAGCCAAATGACACAAACAAGTTGCGACCGCAATTTGAGCAGCAGGTGAAGCAGCTTCTTTAAGAAGCTTCAAAAGGGGCTGAACACCACCTTCCTCCACAATAATCTTCTGATACCTATCATTATCTTGCGCTAATGAAGCAAGTTCATTCGCAGCTTCAATTTTATCATTCAATTGACCCATTTGTATCGAAGCAATAAAAGACCATACCCAAGCAAGAATAGGATCATTACTCGCAATCGGAGGAAGCGCCAAATTTACTCCTCCTTCGCCGTCGAGGATGCTCAAAAGCCACTTCATATCTCCAACGGAGGCGTCGAGGTAACTCAAAACTTTCCGAAAATCGGCGACACCGACGATGGTAACAACACGGTGGAGGATGCTACGGCGCTTACACTTCCGGACCAAAGTCAAAGTGCGTTCTAGATTCTTCGCGGTATCAGCCGTTACCCGTCGGACGGGACGCTCGTAAAGCGGCGAGGTGGCGGCGAATCGGACAACCGTTCGGAGCATTTGGAGGAGGCGTTCGACTTGTTTCCAGACTTCGGAACACTCGAGTGTGAACGAGTCGGTTTCTTCAATCGCTGAGCGAACTCGTTCTGCTATGAGAATTGGGTATGATAATTCTTCCTCTAATCGTTTTCCCTCCGGTGAGGACATGTTCGCCGGGATGGGGTTTGGAATTTTGGTGACGGGACGAGTCAACTGGGTAAGGGCTGAGTCAGGTAGAATCCGAGTTGGATATGGAATATGAGTTTTTATTCCTCTGACTGCGCTATGCATGTTTTTCTTTTTTATGTTTCTTTGTCTGAAAATGCAAAACGTCATCTACGTTAAGTAACCTCTTTAAATGTTAATTTCTCACATTATCAAATTTATTCTCAATAAAAAATATTATTACATTTTTTTAGGTCGGTATAATATTCAAATTGTCAATCGACATTTATGTGATCAAATTATTTCCTTTATCCAACTACATTACATAATATAAAATTTTATTCACTTGATATAATAGATAAAGTTATTAAAATTAGATTAGACATCGAATCGCTATATTTATAAATTTAAAATTTTAAAGTTTGATAGGAATTGAACTCTATTTAAACCATCCATTATATATAAATATATTTTTTTATTATATATAAGTATAATAATATACAAAAAGATTATATTTTAAAAATAATAAAATAATTTATTGATAATTTCTTAATAATTAATACTTAAATTTTTTTAAAATTTTTTTATAACCTTTTATATTTTTAATAGGTAAGTTCAAATTTTCAAAATAATAATAATAATAATAATTAATAATTTTTTAATTTTATTAATTGTTTGTTCATAATATTGTATGATTATTTTTTACGCGTTGAAATATATTTTATCATATTTATCTATTATATATTATTATTATATAAAATTTATTTTTATTTATTAAATGAATAGAGAATAATAAAAAAACTTAAAATAGTTTTTATTTCAATTTTTTTACGAGAATGTGTATCAGAGTAATTGAAAAAAGAAAAAGAAAATTAAATTATGTGTTATTTTAATTCAAAAGAAAATTTTTATCATATTTTTATAAATTAAAAATAAAGTCTGGTCTGACCCTAAAAATCGTTTAAAATCTCAATTTTTTATTTTTAATTGATTTTTTTATCGATTTTTCAATTTAAATCTCAATTCTTCTACAAATTAGTTTTCAGGTCTTAACAGACCAATTAGAATTTTGATTTCCGATCCAATTGATTGAATTTGTAAATTTAATCTGATTTTAATTATTATAATAATAGATATTTTAATTTAATATAATTAATTAAAATTATACATAATTTACTTTAGTGTAATGGTTCATTTATCAAAGTATACATATTTACTTTGATTATAAAAGAAAAATCACATTTATATTTTAATATTTTTATGAAATAATAGATTGTTGATTTTCTTGCATGTTATTAAACTCTTATTATTAACATTTATTTATTATAACAAATATTCATTTCATTATAATGTCAAATATTAATTTAAATTTAATTTTTGTTAGAAATTAAGTTGTACAGCAAAAAAGTTTGAGAGGCCAAATCAAATACATATACTTAAAATTAGTAAGTAAATTAATAAGTGTAATTATCTTACAAAATTGTTTATATTATTTAACTATATATTGATCATTAACAAATGTTGTAGATAATTTATAAATGTGTAATGAGATACAAACAATTTGAAAGTGGTGCACTAGTAAAGCGATGTTTAATCTATAATTGTTTTGGGTTAAAATATTTTATAATCTTTTTAAATAAATTATTTTTCTGAATTACGAAATCATATTAATCAATTCATTATATTAATCAGAATTAATTGATTAAACCAAAAAAAAATACTACTTATATTTAGAATGAATGAAATATAATTAATTTTTATAGAAATATAACCATATATAAGAAATATTAATGGTATATGTTGTCTTATTGTTATTTATTTTAATTTAGAGTTAAATGTCTTCTATTCTTACAATAATAGTGAGATTTGATTTATTCTCTTTTAAAAAAAAAATTATTTTCATTCTTCAACAAGTATAGATTCTTTTACCATAAACTCTGGGTGACTATTGCACCCAGAATCTTCCTATGTGACATTTCATGTAGTTTTTTTTTTAAAAAAAATCTTTTATTTAAATAATGACATGTTCTTCAATTTTTCCTTTATTTAAATAATGACATATAAATATTCTTTGAAAATATAGAAAAATAATCTCAAAAAATTGTTTTGGAATTTGAATCCAAGATCATTGGCTTGCATAAACAGCACAAAGCCACTAGGCTATCTGTTTTTGTTTCTAAATTTTTCCCTCAAATATTTAGTTGTTTCAATATTCTGTAAGTGTTTATAAAAAATGGGAGTTGTGTTCTTTATTTTCTGTTTGTGAGAGATATTAGACTAAGTTTTTTATAAAGAACACAATCCCCACTTTTTACAAACACTTGCAAAATATTGAAACAACTAAATATTTGAGGGAAAAATTTACAAACAAAAACAGTTAGCCTAGTGGTTGTGTGTTGGTTATGCAAGCAAATGATCTTGAGTTTGAATCCCCTATGAAGTAATTTTTTGAGATTATTTTTCTATGTTTTCAAAGAATATTTACATGTCATTATTTAAATAAAAGAAAAATTTATTAAAAAAAAGCCATATTGGACACCACATAGGAAGATTCTGGATGCAATAGTCACCCAGGGTCTATGGTGAAGGAATTTATATTTGTTGAGGGACGAAAATAATTTTTATTTTTAAAAGAGGATAAGTTAAATCTCGCTACTATTACATGAGTAGAATGCATTTTACCCTTTAATTTATATTAGGTATATTTTCTCTTTAATAAAATATAAAAAAAAATTACTATATGAAATTTAAGCTACGTTTGTTTTTTGTTTATTTATTTATTTATTTATATAATATTATTTTTAGTTTTGATTAGTAAATAAAAATAATTAAAATATTTTAGAAAAAGCATAAATATATTTTTCATTATGTTTTTTTTTTATAAATAAACTTGTCTAGGTTAGTTTTGTTATACATAGTTGGTATCAAGTCCGCATAAAAAGAAAATATTGTGTTAGACAGTCAACAACTAACGTAAAACTTTATTGAATCTCTATGACATGGATGAACTATTCAATAATGTGAATGTTAAATCGTTGTTTAGAAGCAACACGTTGTATGGCTCGAGTACAGTGTCAAAAGAGCAAGGGATGTTGCATCTCCGCTTGGATGTAGTAAAAAATAAGCAAGTGTTCTCAAATTTTAGTGAACGAATGTGGGTAAATAAGTTAGTTCATGAAAGTATGATTCATTTTGAATCATGAAATATATGCACACTTACTGAAAAATCTATTGAAATTGTGGATATTATGGTTAGGAGGAAGATTAATTTTATGTGCCTACAAGAAACTATGTGGATAGGTGAAAAAGCGAAAGAATTAGACAACTCCGAATTTAAGTTTTAGTACACCAGAAAAGTTAAATCGAGAAATGGGGTAGGGATTATTATGGACAAGGAGCGGAAGAAGGATATTGTGAATGTGAAAAGAGTATGAGATTGAATTATAGCCTTGAAATTTATAGTGGAACAAGATACCTTTAATGTTATTAGTGCTTATGCACCTCAAGTTGGGATAGCAGAACACCTAAAGGTAAAATTTTAGGAAGATTTAGAAGGCTTACTTCAGGATATACCCCAATTAAAAAAGTTTTATTTAGAAGGAGATCGAAATGGTCATTTAGGAAGCGTAGAAAGAAGTTTTGAGAGCATGCATGAGGGTATGGTCTATGGTATGAAGAGTAAATCCATCTTAGTGTTTTCATCGGCTTCAGATCTTACTATAGCAAATACCTAGTTTAGAAAAAGAGTTAAGCATCTTATCACATATAAAAGTGGGGTGACATATTCTCAGGTAGATTCTTTCTTATTAGAAATTCATATAGGAAGATTTGTTTGGACTTTAAATTTATATTGGGAGAGAGCTTGACTACTCAACATAGATTATTGGTTATGAATATAAGAGTAATGAGGAAAGCAAAGAGAAAAGGGCACATGGGAGTTCCAAAAATCAAGGAGTGACATTTGAAGGGGGAAACATGAAAGTTTCTGACACAGGATCTTAGAGGGTGGGTTTGGACAACCACAAGGACGTGCAAATGATATGCGAAATAAGATGGCCCCAAAAGATTACAAAAATGGCTAAAGACTCATTGGGAGAATAAAAATGTTTTGGACTTAGGGATAAAGAATCATGATGGTGGAATGAAAGTGTTCAGAGTAAAGTTAGAGTAAAAATGATTGTTTTAAATAATGGTCTAGGTGTAAAAATGCCAAAACCTAGGAAAAGTATAGGAAAGCTAAGAATGATATAAGAAGGCAGTGAGTGAAGCAAGAGCTCAAGCTTTTGATGGATTATACCAAACTTTAAGAATCAACGAGGGAGAAAAAAATTTATATAGACTTGCTAAGGAAAGAGAAAGAAAGATATGATATTTGGATCAAGTAAAGTGTTTTAAAGATGAAGAAGGTAAAGTTTTGGTTCAAGAAAAATATATAAATGTTGGAACAAAATATGTTCACACTCTTTGAGCTCATACTGCTTGGATTTTGATGATAACAAAAGTAAATCCAGATTCTAATGGACCAAAATTTGAATTTCATATAAGACCTCAGCATCATATTATTTTAGCCTCTGATGTTCAAATAGAACTCCAGTGCTACATTGACTTTGCCTCTGATGATTCAAATGAAACTTCAAGTGCTTTATTGAAAACACAGTACAAAGCTATTTTGTTTGTACTATATGCAAAAGCAACTCCATCTTCTCAGCGGATAGAATTAAGGAGCAAGTCAACTAGAGGTTTTGGCACAAGGCTTAAGGCTAAATGATATGATTTATTCATTCTATCGTCACATGCCTATGGACGCCTTACTTGAGAAAGACACAATGGATAAAGAAATTATTCAGAAGATAAAGATCTTCATCGTACCAACTCCAATGTCTCTCCCTTGGTAACCATTTCTTTAGAAAAGACACTTGTGCAAGAAAGATTCCAACATCTATTTTGTTCCTTCTATATAAGGATTTAAATATTCAAAAGAAGTAACAAGAATAATACAACAA